CTCTCCTCTCTCCTCTCTCCTCTCTCCTCTCTCCTCTTTCCTCTCTCCTTACTTTTCTCATTTCATCTCTGGTCAATACCTATCGATACAGAAGCTTTCTCGAAGGCCAGATCCATTGTACGATGATGTTGTTATTGCATAAATCGGGTGAAAGTGATTCGTGGGTTTGGCCCCCTTGAACTTTGTAGTTGGGACAGTGTAAATGTGCGATGGGAGCATCAGCTCACTGTCTTCACAACGTGACTGAAACAACTCGCCTCGTCTTCCGATCACGTACTTTTTCAATTGGTTTTCCTCCGATTGACTGTTGTTGCTCGTATCTTTACGAGGCTGTCTCGAATTCGTGAGACTTCCGGCGAAGGCTCGCATGCCTATCGTCCAACCGACACAAGTCTGACTTGCCCACGTTGTCATCCGCGAGGTTGTGGAAGCGTCGCAGAATGCCCATCCGGGCATAAAGAGAGACTGGGTTTCGATGACTCCCATGAAAGACCTCATGCTTGTCTGGCTTAGTTTTGTGTAAAACAGCGAATGGACCAAATTAGTGAAGCAACCTGACCAGAAGCAAAAGGAGGATTAGTTTAAGGCAGTTGTAACTGTGTCTTTTTCCGAAACATGGGCCGTAGGCTTCTTCGCACGAGCCAACAGTCCCAACTGCCCCAATGCAACGCTGCCTCGGCCTCTGGTAAGGCCAAATGATAAATACCACTTTTGGGAAGCGTCTTTTTAAGCAAAACGAATGGTACAGCCGCAAAGGACCAGCTTTCTCCGAGGCTCGCAGGATGGCATCGGTCCAATGTGGTTGACGGACAGGCCCCATTCAAGTCGCGGAAAAGCGAGTCGACCAGTCGACCCGCGTTTCGTCCTCTCTTCCGCACCGAAGTGGATCGAGTGACATGCCCACAAAAGAGACGGTATCGGACGAGCTGGACCATCTGGAGCAGGGGGCATAAATGACGTCATTTGGAGACTATGAAACCGTAATGAAGATAAAAATGTGTCCTATTAAAGTCGATATTTGTGGCTTGGCCTGTCGGACAAGAGAAGAGGATGAGCTGATGGGCCCGTTACGAAATGCTGTAGCAGCCATGATTTAATTTATTCACAAAAATGGGTGATAGGAATGCAGGCATTTCGGGCAGATCGATGTAGCGATTTCAAGACAACCGGGAGACCAGAGGTGGTAAAGTTACAATGTTGTATCCGTATTGTGGTCAGTTAAGAGGAGGACGGAGCTAAAAATGTGTCCTATTTTTAGAGCTAGTGGGATACAGCTGCTTGTTTGATTGTCTCCTTGCCTCGTGGTCGTTGCAGGCGAGATGGCGTTTACATGTGACCAGCTGAAAGGCTGAAGTCATCGGAAGAGTCTCGCGCACAAGCGGCGAAAGGGAGCGAGAAGAGGGTCAGCAAAATAGGCTGATGGGAGGTGTGTCGGCAGGTCTGGAGTATGACCAATTCGAAGGTGGAAGGAGTGGGAAAAGTGACGGATTCGGAAGAAATGGGAGATGTGGATAGAGTGGGAGGAGTAAGAGTGAGGGGAGTGGGAAATGGGGGACAGTGGGAGATGTGGAATGAGTGGGAGAAGTGGAATGGTTGGAAGGCAAAGGAGGCGTTGTAACGGCAGTGCA